TGTGTAACAATCGATTTACAAACTTAACAAGACTTTTAACAACCTTGTAATTGGATGATGACAATCAGTAGTTACTATAACATATAGCAATTGAAAACTAATGCCGGAAATCCCTTATGAAAGAGTCAGTAGGTCAGTATATTTTCTGTCCCGTATTGCTATCTGACAATCAGTTGGAGAACGTAGGAATTTTTTTCTTATACGGGTTCACCTTGAACGCCAAACAAAAAGAAGTTGAAATCCTCGGGAGGCAGTGCTCGGAGAGGGCCTTGGAACCGATGCACAGACTCTGACACATGCGTCACGTCTTTCTCTCTATCTCTCTCTTTCAGTGTAGGACGTTCACATATTTTACCAGACGCAACAAATACATGCGCATAAAATGAGATCTTTATCATGGTTATCGTGACTCTCTTTCCACTTTTAATATTTTAATAAAATATATACTTCACTCGATTTCGTTTTTTTATAAATAATCTAGTCAATTCTTGATGTAATTATAAAATTTCAAAATTCACGTATCATATATGATATGTATATATATATATATATATATTAAATTATATTTCTATGATCTGTAGGCATGCGCATCTGCGATATACACATCTAGAACTTCTTACTATAGAGGCAACGTTTCGCGCATGCGTGTTGTCCATTTCTCTATGACGATCAAGCAGTTGGTAATCGGACTACGTCACTTTTCTATCCGTCATTGAAATCAATGACCTACCTCAAATAATTTTCACATGAGCCTTTTTCTATAATTCATTATTTGTTTATGTATGTATATATACGATTCTTTTTTCACTTTTTTCTCAATAGTATCATAAGTAATACAATAGGAAATAATTCTTTAATGATTCTCTTTCTCTACTTCAAGATAAACAATCTTATATTGTAATCCTTAGTCAGTTATCAAAAGAACGAACCACAGCACGAATCTCGGAGCCAGTTCGCAAGTGGCTGATTCCACCAGCAATCGGTCGTCTTTATATACCCACAAGACGGTATCACGTGACACTCCACTACTTGGTAATTCTTGGAGCGCATTGAATAGTGTGCAACAGTACACGCATATGTATACGTCGCACTACCACTACAAAAAATCATGGCGTAGCTAACGGCGCTGCTATAACATTGGCTAAGCGCATCGGAACCAGCCACGAGGTTAATCAGCGCGTGCGCTACCGACGGAAAAAGGAATCGTACGAAAAACGCGTTATGCGGTCACTATGCGTAATGCCTGTTGCATATATATATATTGCAAAATTATTGCAAAATTATTGCAAATGGTTGTAGAAACATTGCAAATAAATATTTAATATTTAATCGAATATATTATAATTAAAGTTATAATCATATATTAATAAATTATATTATATATTAAAAATTTTAATTGTGGATGTATTCTTGATTTTTATTTTAAAATTTTCACAAAGTTTAAACTTTCTCTATGTAATCAAGTAATTTAAAAGCCAGAGTAATAGTTTTACTTAGAAATCACTGCAATAATATCGAACTAAACTTGCCTATTTTTTGACACGAAGCAATCATTCAAAAGGATTACGAAAAACGGTAAAAGAACGAAAAAAGAAGTGAGAAAGAGAAGGAACATGATGAGAAGAAATGGATTCGGGTTACTGGCTGTAAACGACCTTAAAGGCGGGTCGAGGAGGCGCAGACCGTTGCGATAGTAACCTACATAGCGCCGGCAGGCACACTGGACTGCTTAGACTTGTTTACAACGAGACGATAGTACCGAAGACGAGTCAAGTTACGGTTATGAATCTACCGAGCTCTGATTCTCATATCTATGCGTGACTTGTATAACATCTCTACTCATGCTAGTTGACATGGCCTGTTATTGATACTCTATTTTACATATTAAACTTACATGAAAATACAATAACACTTTCCACTTTGTTATGCTATGTTCTCATTTTTCGAATGTTTAATTTTACATATACAATTTTACATAATTGCAAAAATATATATAACAATTATAACGATTTCGAGAAGAATAAATTTTTTATAGATAATAAAACAATATATCAACATATAAATCAACATTGATATAAATATTTTATACATTGAATTATATGATATATATATTGATTCAAAATCAAATAAAAATTTCAATAATAACAGTATCTGATAAAACACACGTAAAATATATTTACAAATTGTGCAATACTTTATATAAATTTTTTCTTGTCTTATTTAAAATATATTTATATTTTGATATCATATACGTTGCAATACCGTTGCGAAAAAAACACATGTCTTGTTTAATACGATGTATTAAAATATCACGTTTTTAGTTATATCTTTCAGTTATGAAGAGGAAACAGGAAATCTTGAGAATATCCCAAGTATTCTTTCTTTTTTTTTTTACTAAGAAACGAGATCTCCAGTGTATTTAATGCCATATAAAATCTATTAAAGTTTCTATTGAAAAACAAAGTGAGGTTAGAAACTTCAAACTGCTTGCGCCATATGTTGCGCTCTATAATCTTATGAATTATATTTTATTCAAGGTTACATTCTTAGCTTCTAATTCTGTTTACTTTTAAATATTTTTAATATATAAATAATTCGTATATAAGAAATTTATATATCTTTAGAATAAGTAATGATATACTGCATGAAATATATATAAATAATATATATATTTACGCATAAATATTGTATATAAAGTAAAATAAAAAAACCATTATTATTTCAAAGTAACTTTAAATTAAAAGAATCATATTTGAAGAACATTATTTTACGATTGAAAAACTAACAATGTACAATTACAACTTGTATTAAAGATAATAAACAACGTAAACATTAAAAAGACAGTAATCTATATTATCGACAGAAGAGAATACAGACATAACTTTCGATAAACAGAAATTTGTACTTTGCACATTGTCACGCGATTTCACCGATTAATGTTAGTATAGTAACAGCTGTTTCTTTCAGTATTGGTTTTTTTCTTTTTCGTTTTATCATGACGTGCATTTATCGTAAGCGACCGATAAATACCACAATTTATCTCTCTACTAAGTTCAAATTTGCTTCCACTGATTACTAAAAATCGTTCAAGAATTTTTTCAAAGATAAAACTACTTTGCACTTCAAAAACTATCTATCGGTTTTACATTACTTTAAGTAGAATTATAAATTTAGAAGAATTTAATATCTTTCATTAGATAATTCATTATTAAAGTTTAATTCTATTTAATTTTGTTATATAATTTTTTTGTTAATAAAAAATAAAGAAATATTTGATTTTAAATTTTATCATCTTACTTGATTTCTTTAAATTTTCAAATATAAATAAATAATATAAAATAATATAAAAATTTTCAAACTACTGTCTAAAAACCCTTTTAATCAAAGAATATAATTGAAATAAATGAATTATGTTTAATGAAATTTCATCAATATTTTTTTCTTTTATTTATTATATCTATTTTTCACTCAACTTCGATATATATATATATATATAATAATTAAAAATATGGTAATATCAGAAATTTATGTTATTAATTAGAAAAAAATATAAGAAATATAATAATCTATTAAAAAGTAGATCTCATACCAAAGCGTAAATTTATTCGTAATGGATTTTGGCATAAATGGATCTACGAGAATAATCTCATGAAATTATTCTATCTCCTCCGTAACTCAATTATGAATCCCCGCGCAAAAATAAACTTTAATCATCCCGTTGGAGGGTAAGTGCAATATTTAGCATGACACGGGTAGCATTAAAAGCACGCGTGGGTGTTCGGCCGGACGTGCCAAAAGAGAAGGGGATGCTGTGCATATAATCCGACAACGGGGCGCCGCGTGACGTCACCGCTCGTCAATATTATACCCTTGTTTCGTCGCCAGTGATACTTCTGTTTTTCCATTACGCACAAAAAAACTACAACAGGTCGTTCGATTCTTATATCGTATCAATCGACACAATATAGTAGAAAAATAATATCATTTGTTGTCATTAATGACTTCGCGTTTTCAAAGACCATAATTTAATAACATTAACGTTAATTGATCGCGTTCGTGCGACACCGAATTCGCTCGCGTTTTTTCGTTCTTGAAACAGGCACGTAACCGACACCGTTGCGAAATCGATCCCGGTCGAGAGCAATGATAATGACCATAGGCGTCGAAAAGCGTATTTCATTTCTTCTGTGAATGTTAATTATGACGGATCAACTTGTTAATAAAAAAAAATCACAAATATATTTTGTTCGCGAGGGCGTTATGTAAAAATCATGTTTCTGTCTTGAACAATCCTTCTCTGCGCCTTTCGAGAAATACGAGTTACGATTGGAAAGTACGGTACTTTCGAGGGAATCCGTGCGTCCATTAAATGGACGTTGTAATTTTGCGAATAACCACCGAAATATTTTCTTTTTCGAACACATTCAGAAAAAAAATGTTAAAAAGAGGAACTTTCGTGTACCGATTAATTAATCACCTCAAAAAAAAAGACAAAGGAAGATACTTGACTATAAGAGACAATATGGTAGCACAGCCTGTCAAACGATTTACCGGTAATTTTACGACGATGCCAGAGACTTGCGCAGAGAGAAGCATGGAGAGAGAAAAAGCGAACCCGGGAGTGGGGGATCGGTGACAGCGTCACGAAACCGAGAGAGATCCTTTGTCGACGCGCGTTGCGAGGTTGCGTTTATTTCAGTCTATTCGTCGCTATTTCTAGCAGGCACCAGATCGAATATGCTTTTTCGTTCTGCCTGTGCCGAGTATATATATATATATATATATATATATACATGAACACACCGTCTTTCCCTTCCTCTTTCTCTTTATATTGTTTTTCTTTCTAATTCGTTCTCCCTTTTTCTTTCATAATATGATCGCGTTATTGTCTTTCTTTGTGCGAGAATGATTCTCTCTTTGTCGGCTCGCTGCACAAAAATACAGGCAAAGAGAAGAGGTAGAGGAGGGCGAGTGCACACGCAGTGGAGGATCAGCTGTGTCGACCAACGTATAAATAATTTTCTCGGCCCACTTCCACACACCGTGGTGCAGCGCAAAGGCTATGTTAACCACGGCGTTTACGTCGGCATCCTGTAACGATGTAGCGAGACACTTCATGAAACGCGCGTATGATGCTCGTTATTTAATGCTCTGTCAAAGCGTAATTTCAACGCTCCTCATCCCTTTAACCATTCTTTTTTATCCCTCAGTTTTTTCGCGGACTAATGGATACACCGGAGTAATTGCAAATGGTATACGACTGAAGGGGAGAAAGAAGAAATGATAAAAGTGTAAATGGCTGGCGACATTTTATAAGCAGAAATAGTCTTATGAACTGTGATTGAGATGAAGTGATTGGAATGAAATAATAATTGCATACTAATTACATACATATAAACAAGTAAAAAAATGTTGAAGAATCAGATATTGTATGATGATTTTTTATTCTTGATTTCTACTTCGATTTAATTCTTGTTCGATAGTGAGAAGTTCGATAAATAATTAATTTATCATTTTAAAACTGATTTAGTGATTTATTAATATGATTATTTTTCATTTTAGATATGTAATTACATATTCTACATTAAATTGTCATGATATATTTATTTTCACAATAAAATAATTTTCTATTTTTTTCTATAAAATAAAAGTAATCGATAAATAACAAAAATATCATTAGAAAAACTAACAGTAAAGAACATGAGAAAAGAAAGCCAAGTGGCAATGAGATTTCTCGTGGCTAAATAAGGATAGAGTCAAGGCGTATGCGATCGAGAATTCGGAAATCGGTGGAATGTCACTCATGATCAGATGTCACACGAGGCAACGTATCATTTGTAAACAAGCCAAAGAACATGACAGACAACTAGAAATCGGAAAACTTTGAAGTGTATCTCTATTAAGACGTTTCGCTGGAACATTTCTTTACTATTTTCATTTTTAATTTTATTTTCAATCATATATTCAAGAATTGAATAGGATTAAAGAATTGAAGATTTGATTTCATTCTAAAAATTTTTAAATACATTAAATATACTTAAAGATGAATAAATTAATTTCTAAACTAAAAATATTTAATTTAATTATTAATTATATAATGTTTATTATATGTTTTGTGAATTGAAAAGATTTATTTTTTCAATCCATAAATTCTTGCTTTTAAGCTGTTTTATTTATAATGAAGTTATTTCATTATAATACATTTATTAATTATATTGATAGTTTGATGATAGGAATTTTCTCGGATTTTAATTTATGCAGATATTTTAAGTATTCGAATTATGATATTTCTATGATTGTTCTGCATTTTAACTTAGTGTAATATTCGAACTATTCTAGGAATTTTTTAATATCTTTGATGATCCTTGAAAATATCGTTCCGACTGAATACCTTGCTTCAAAAATAATTTCGACAATTATTCTTTAATGCAATTCTTACGACACGTTTCAGTAAACAAAAATTGCTTATATTTCATAAAGAAAATATTTTCAAATCCATGTCTTGAAATTGAGTCATAATTCAAAAAGTTGGCTACCTACCTTCGAATATTTATGTACATATTGTATATACACGCATCATTTACATGAAGATGACTCAATTTACAATTACTAAATATTTAAATGAAATTTGAAATGGCATTGAATATTAAGAATAACAAGTAAATAATATAATAATACATCGGAAATTTTCTTATCCTTAAAAAAAATCATCAATCAATTAATTCTCCAATTCATCGTAATTAATTATCGTATTATTATTATTATTATTCATATATTTTCTTATTTAATACTATCAAACAAATATTTTTAAAGATAATTATTTAAAGATAATTATTCAATTTCAATAAAAAAAAAATATAGAACAAGATAAAATTTCAAATATTTTTTTTAAAATTTAAATTTTAAATAACAAAAAAAATTACAAAAATAGTAAATTTTTTTAGACAATGAAAAAGAAAAAATAAAAAATGATAAGAATGCTAGATAAAGATAAATAAATTTAGATGACAATTACAGAATTCAAATAATAAAAATAAGAAAACAGGAAGGAAAAAGAAAAACGATTCTAAGGAAGTCAGCAAGGAGAAAAGGCGCCGTGCGTAGCTAGTAACGAAGCTAAAGGAAATTCGTGTATGGGGAACAACGGTATGGCGAGCTCCATTGAGTGTAAAGCCAGCAAGGTAACGGTTTCCGGGCAAGGATGTGGCACAACCTACATACCTTCGCCACGATGTAGCAGAAGGAGGATAGGAAGAGAGGAAGAAGCGAGTACGAACAGGCAGAAGGAGAAAAAGAAGGAAAAAGCCGACCAACAGCCACTGGCGAACCGACGAGAAAGATATGCGGAGAGGAAAGAAAAGAATAGAGAGACAAAAAAAGACGGTCGACTGGCTTCCAAGCGAGAGACATCCTCCCCTCTTTCAGTTTATTTTTTGTGAATCGAGACCATCATTCGAATTTCACGAAACTTGCAATTATATCCAGTTTTTAAAATCATCAACAACTATCTTAAATTTTGTTCTCATTGTCACGTAAAATCCAAGAAGTTGGATAATCTGGTTTCTTCATTTTCGATACTTTGTAATTATTTACGTATTTTTTATGATAGAAGTTATTCAAAGTAATTTTGATTATAATAATGATCATAATTATTATTTTTAGTTTACACTACATTATTACATATATATCACGTATCTATTTTTTTGTTCAAAATATTCTTATTTTATGATTAATAAGTAAACTTAATACTTTAAATATAATTGCTAATTTAATAAAATATTGAATATAATTATAATTTAAAGCTCATAAATATGATATATATTTTCTAATAGGATATATTATAAATTCTATTCATAAAAAGAATACATTTCAAACAAATTTAATTATGATTTAATTATGAAACAAAAATCTATCTTAAAATCAGTTAAATTTAACGTATTAATTTTATCATGCTTCATTGAGGAACAAAACATTTATTATTGCGATAAAATCAGTTTTCGTATCTTTTGCTTGAAGTTTAATAAAAAAAAAAAGGTAACGCATGAGAGGAAGAGAGAGAGAAAATGATAGGCGACGGACTCGTTTCTTATGCACGTAAAGTTCTGCAGTGAAAGGAAGTATAACGCGGCTGTGGTACATAGTTACTTAATCTCCGTTTGACAGAAACGAGGTCATTTTTATCGAGGCCCTCGTTGGAGAGCCAGCCGCCAATGTGGCGCGTTCTCGTAAAACGAATCTGATCTGAGCTGGGAACGCGTATACACATATACACAACTTACAAACACACGATCATTTCTCGGTTGCAAACGGAACAGTGGTAGCAACAACGCATTATTTACCGACTTTATTTTCCTCGACGAGTGACGTTACGCGTAATTACGCGCGAAATTGCATTAAACTCATCTTCGCGAGTCGAATTTCAAAGTGTAAGCATTTATTATGGCGATTATCTATTTCGTTTAAAGTATTATGATACTCGACGATATTTATATATAAAATCTTTAATTTATTATACTTATTTTTTCACATATATTCTTTATTGAAAAATAATCCAATTCGATTTATTATTATTATTAAAAATTATTAAAGATTATTAAAAACTGACCGGTTAATTCATGACAAGTTATTTTCATAGGTTAGGTTTTTCAATAGGTTAGATAATAAAATTAATTCTATTAAAACATGCTTATTAACAAAAGAAAATTCATATAAAAGAATTAATATAGAATTTCGATTCAATCAGAACCATAAAAAGAGATCCAAGTCAAGTGATACGATTGCGATAGATTCGTTCTTTTTATGTTTCTTCCTTTGCGGCCGCCATTAAATTTGTACGTTACTGGAGGTGAGGGCCGACGAGCGCAATACACAAGAACACTTTCGCCGACGTGCTTGCTTTTTCCTGCCGATCTAAAAGTGCGTGGATCTCCCTCTCCAATTGCTTTTCCCCCTCTCTTTTTCCTTCTGTGCAATGGCAAGTCGCAGTTCTTTAACCGAATAGAAGTATATATCCCTTCTCTTTGAATCTTTCCCCACTTCTTTACACCGTCTTTCTCTGATCCATATCAATTCGTCTCTCTTTCTTCGCCAGATTCGCCGTTTGGTCTGTCCTCGTTACACGTCTTGTTACCTCCCCTTCACTCATCGCTTCTCAAGAATCCGGATCTAGTCTCAAGGTTTACATAAAGGAGCTTGGACGAAGCCCCCGTCTTTTCTCAGCCGCGCTATGATTAGCTTCGTTCTCTACCGAAGAATTTCTATTACATATCGTTTGAAGACCCGCTAACAATTCTCTGGGGTTTCCCGAGACTGGCTGGCACAAGTGCATCTATCTAGTGGGAAGTCTTTGCAGGCAACTATGGAATATGACGTCTCGGGGTTACATTGCCAACGATGTATGAAGTATTGCAAGTAAATTTTAAATATTGTGAGACAAATTTTGAGATAATTTTATATAATTATTAAATGTAATTAAGATTTAACAAGCATTTTGACAATTAAACGTGATATTTAGAAAATATTAAAAAAATATATTAAAAGAAATTTAAATTTGACGACAGAATATGATCGATCATAAAGAATATGAAAATTTTAGCGGATAATTTATTTTAGCAAATAAATTTAAAAAAAAAATTGATATACGATTGATATATGTTCTTTTAGCACATTCTAAAAATATATTTTTGTAATTCAATAATATAATACTATGAAAAAATTTACAAATATTTTTTATATCACGTGATTATCTGAACAAATGACACCGAAAGTCTTCCTGTTTCCTCACTTAAAATGAACACATTGTAAATATACTTAACAAACCAATGTTTCACCAATCGCATTCTCTTCTACCGGGTGTTTCACAACGGACTATATACGAAAGAAGTATGTAATGAGACGCGAACCGTTAACCGAACGAAGGAAAACGAGCTATTCGCTGGCCACTATTGCGACACAATAGCCATCCAGTCAGTGTATATATATATATATGTATATATATATATATAAACGAGTATATAGAAAGAGAGATTACTTTCTCTACAGAGCAATTACGATATACATGGCCTATGTAAACCGTTCGAAAGCGGTTCGATTTTAATTGACTGAAAGAAATAAACGAACATCATGTCGGAAGTTTTTTTTCCATGATGTATACTCCTGTCCATTCTTCAATACGTAATGAAACGATATTACCGACCGAGACATCGTTTGTCTATCAATCTTAATCATAGACAAAGTATAAAATAGACGAGACACTTAACATATTTTTTTGTTCATCTGATCTAAAGTCATATGTAATAATACGATTTATGGAATGAAATATATGTGAAAAACCACGTGAATTAAATATAACGATAACGAATTGTTTTTAATAAATTGATATAAAATTATAATTACGATAAATTTATAAAATCCATATTAAAACATTAGTTATTTTTATACGAAAATCTCAAAAAATATGTTTTAATTATATTGAGATTAAGTGAGTTTGCATTTGGTATTTTTTGAAATGAAATATCATTGTACGAAATTTATATATTATATTGAAGCATTATCTTACTAAAAGATTTTTTCCAATACGCGTTTGAAAATATAGTTAAGAAATGAAATGTATGTCGAGCATATAAAAACTTTTACAGTAAATTCAGGAAAACAATGAGGATTATATATGGTTCCTTTCAATTCAGGTAGAAAACTGCTGAAAAACTCTAGGGAATTCAAAATACTCATGAGAATATATGGTTGGATATTTTCAAGTTATTTTCCAAAGTAATTCAAATGTGAAAAACAAATAGTATTTTCAACATTATTTTATGAATATATTTTAAATCAATAATTCTAAATTAATATCAAACAATAAGCTTTCTATATCTTTCCATATCTGAAGTAAGTAAAACTTTGAAAAATTTTTTTATTTTTTCTTATATATTGAAAAAAATATAAAATAAACTTAAAAACCATTTTTTTTAAATTTTGAAAAACAGTAATCTAAAAATATGTAAAAATTAGCATTTTTAACATATTTTGTAGATAATATATTTTATATGTAAATGAAAAATTATATTCATAAAAATAATAAAATATTTACAAAAAAATCATCATAAATTATTTGAATTCTAATTACTGATTTAGTGCAATCTCCAATCCAATTGAATTTTACAAATATTGAAAACAGAAGAACAACATTTCTCCTTGATATGTAACCAATGAGATAAGTAAGTAGTTAAAGATAGCATCCAACAGTGAATGGAAGGGGAACATGACCGGATCTTGGACTGCTACATTCAATGTTACATAGATATTGGCATAAGATTTCTTGTGCAAGATCCTATTACTATAGGTAAATAATTATTATAGGATATTATAGGTATCCATCTATATTTATTTATAAACAATATAATATAATTCCTAATTTTATAATCAATTGAATGATTTTAATTAAAATGATGAAAATAATTAAAAAAAACAGCAACTATATGAATTAATAGTCTATAGAAAATTCCAACATATCATTTATTTAAGTTAGTAACATTTGTACCCTTTTCTTTATTATTTTTTTTTTATTCGATACGAATTCATTGGTATAGTTTCTTTTCTCTTTTAAATTCTTGTTAATAGTACACATGCTTCTGATTTGCGTATGATAAATATTTGCGAATGGAGAAACAAAATTTATTTCATAACATCAATAATAAAAAGTAGTTACTTTTTTGTGCTCCGCGAAATAATTTTCATGCCGAAGTGATGAATAATAATTAAGATAATATTACACGAATAAAACATATATTTGACTGAAAAGAATAATCTGGAATAATCTTTTAATTGAAATTAATTTTTTTAAGAAAATAAAATTTCATGATCTTTGAACTTCATTTAAAATAAAAAGAGAAAAATTTATCAAACTTCATTCTACACACAACACAACTTTAAAATATTTATTTAATTCTTTATTTTTTATATTGCTGTTTCTGATAAAATTCTCGGAATATTATACTTACAATATTCAAAATTCGATCGAAACTTACCGATGTCAAGTTCTAAGAATTTTAATTTGCATATAATAAAATTGATTTCGATCTTTCTATCAAACTACTATTGTTTTTAATTTCTAAGAAAACTATAAAAATCTTGATGTGTATGATTGAATAATTGTTTTACTTTGAAAATGCATTGTTAATAATTCTATAAATATCTTTTTATCTCCACTTTACGTTATTAACAGATAGAAGAAAAATGGTGACGATTAATGCATTTCACCGTGACCGTGATACGATGATGGTCGTGCACATATGTTTCATCACGGTCATTTATCGTCTTCTTCACCCGTCATTTATAGCGCGGATCATCCGCGTGGATTTTTTAAAATTAAAAAGAAAGAAATATTCTTGGTTGGACAACAAATAAGATGTAATTCGCTGTTATAAATATACCGATAATGTCACAGTAAACATATGGTCATACAAAACAATTGAATTATTTGAATTTTTATTATTACTTAAATTGATTAATTATGAGTTATTTATTAATCCTGTATTTAATTCTGTTTATACTACTAAAACGAATATTTTTAAGATTTATGGATATTATAAAAATTTAAATCGTCACTTATACATTGAATTAATTTTGCTTAAGTTAAGATACTATTATTTTTTATCTACAATAGGACGAATGATTTAATGTAATCTATATTATTCAATTTTCGAGAATTAATTAATATTTACGAATAAGGTTTAACTTTACATCGTTTTTACCCATTTATAAATTACACTTCAGGTAAGTGAAAGTAACTGCATTGGTTAAAACATTCTTTAAAAAGACTTGATAAATTGAAAAGAAATCTTTTCACTTTATATAACTACTTCCACCCAAAATCGTGTTACTTAAATACTACATAGTAAAATTAAAGATTAAATTATTTCATGGAACCATAGACTGCACATGTTTCAATAACAATTCATACGAAATATATATTACAAAGATTTTGATTTAATAAATATATTATCAGAAGTCACGATTGTTTATATCATTCGAATATCATTCATTTCGTTGTTTATGTTTCGATTGCAAAATTTTGCTAATTTCGAAATTCTGTTCGATATATATATAATATTTTTAAAATCAATTATCTCTGGTTAAGTTTATCCAAATTTTCGACAAGAATGCTGGATGAAATTTAAAATCGTGAGATCATCTTAATATTTCATTACATGTATTAATCTTAAATATTTGAAATTCATAACAAGAACAACGATTCTTGTTTATCACGATTTGATGATTTAATTAGATATCATAGATATACTTATATCATTTTTGCAACGATATACTATGGATATCTTATCAAGAAAAAAAATTAAATATTATTCTCACTAATGTGCAGATGTCAAAGTTTCAAATCTAGAAACCTGACTATTTAATAAAAATGTGATATAAATGGATAACTCCAGCTTGTTTTTTCAACTTATAACGAATTAAATAAGGATTGCGCTACAATACGAGTTAATCTGATATATTTGTTACACGATATCACAATTTCTCTTCCGCTGTTATTACGACTAGGCATTAGGTATTCTCAAGTTGATTGCCATGTGCTATCTTCATGGGAAGTGATAACGCAATGGAACTGTTGGGTGCAGGTTAGTTTGGATAACGGGCATATGATAATGATGTACTTACGATATAAATATTTAGCGTTATTTTCAAATATATATGTTTATATATGATATATTGTTTAAAAAAAAGTTTCATTATTCATTCATCTTATAAAATTTTCGTTAATATTAAATTATAAAATTCCTAATGATATTAATTTATAATATATACTCGATAGAATCAAGATACAATCGTGCAATAATTATTTTGAATCCCATAATACAAGGTTGCTTACACGATAATTGTATGGTATACAAAAAATTGGTATACAAAAAATATATACCATTCAATTTCACGTATTAGTATTAAACTGAATTTGCAAAGTGAATCGAATGAAAATTAATCGAATTATTGGCTTTAAACTCGAAATGAGAAACCTTAAAAAATTCAGAACGTTTTTTGAAGACTTAATTCTCTTAAATTTCAATTCAAGAAGTATCGTATATCTGTAATATCTTCCAAAATATAACCGGAGGTTAATTTTTTCTCAACTCGATGCACTTTTTCCCTGTCACTCGTTATTCACTCGAGAACTTTCCACGTGCCTTTACGATCGCACGATCGACTGCGTGGGGACGTTAATTGATCCCCAACGAGGCGTAAGAAAACGCTCAGTCGATAAGTAGAGGACGGAAGCGGTCTCGAGCGATCTCAAAATAAGAATACATAGTTAATCTATCCATCGTTTCCCGTTCCTTGACGTGGAAACATTTTCCACGGAAAAATCTTCAGTTTATAACAGGACGTCGGTTTAACCCACTGACATACTATTTATCCTCGCGTTACATCGTTAATCGGTGATTCACATGGCCGAGTCCGGTCTTTTAAAACCTTATTTGCATGTAATATATAATTTTGATTGATCAAATGATCGATATAGTTCGATGAAATTTTGAAACAAGAATAATTTAAATTGTTCACGATACTGTTGCGAACAAAAAAATTTTAAACATGATATAAAACTCATTAGTGTTATCATTAAACATGTTAATATCACTTTACAACTTCATTTCAAAGCTTTATCTGAATCTTATCATTTGAAGATTTAAATGGTAAGTTGTTTTGTAAAATGATTTGTTCCATGAATCATGTCTATATATACATATATATATATTCGAATTTTATATTAAATTTTCTTATTTAAATTTATTTAACAAATCATTCGGCAAAGTTCAGAAATTTAAACTTATCGACAAGGAAACATTCGATGACAAAAAATTTAAATTTCTAAAATTTTCATCTTATCTTTCTAAAAATAGAATCGACGAATGAATGAATGAATGAAATTCTCTCGATAAAAATAAATCCAAACACGATAATAAATTTTTTATTTTGTGTACATCAATCAATATCCCGGATGAATATTCGAAAGTCATTCGTCAAACGTCAAAAAAAAAATAATTTACTCATATAACGACAATTAAATTGAATCTAATCGCTTGTTTCTTTCTTCCTCTTTTTTTCCCTTTCATCTTCTAATAATA